CCTCTCCTGTTTCAGGGAAGATCCTGTTCCGCCGGAGCCACATCCGCGACGTGGCGGTCAAGCGCCTGATCCCCATTGAYGAGTACTGCAAGGTAAGGGGGGCTGCAACACCACTGAGGGCAATCCCAGCTTGATCCAGCTCAATCCCTTGGGCTGATAGCCCAGCACAATGCTGGGAGCACAGGGAGTGGGCTTAGCCCTTCCTATCAATCCCTTTTTTTGATTAAAACCCATCCACGGATTCGCTTTTCGCTCCTCATTTGCATGCAGGACTTGGTTTGAAGGACTCAGCTCCCCAGGGAGACTTTCCTTTCCCATCTATTGGGAAAAGACAGCACTTTCTTGGTGGAATGGTTCCAAACTGGGATGCAAACTCCTGTTACTGGTTACATCAACCAGTTACTTGCACAGGGTAAGATGATTTGGACCTGCAGAAAATTATTGGAGCAGAGAGAAGGCTGAGGTAATTTGCTCCGTGCTCTTGAAAGATATAAAAACTGGGCTTAAGCAGAAGGGAAATTATWATTTTTAGGGCAGATTTTTTTTGGCAAGGGAAACAAAAGTCTACGAGAAATTATTTTCACACCAATCAAATCAAGTGTGTCACATCTGATGATGTCAAAGACATGCAGGAGTACTTGCAGCAGCCACAGTAGGACTGRAGCCTCCAGAATCCAATCTGAATGTTGCTGGAAATGTACACAAAGGCTGTAAAACCCACAGGAGAAGATGGGGAAATGGTAAAATAAAAATGGGGTAAAATGCCCATCCCATCCCTGAAGTGAGGGAGATGGCAGTGCCTTTGTGAGGTGGGAGGGGCTGTGGGTTTGGGCCTCAGCCAGAGGCGTGGCTGGGACATCGTGGCTGGAATAACAACTACAGGGATGGGGGTGAATCAGGAAATGCATCCTGACAGCTCTGCAGAGGGGCTGCAGRTGGAAACACTGCGGGCCAGGAGGGCAGGCGGGGGCAGAGGGATGGGGATGTGGGATGAGGTCAGAGGGATGGAGATGGGATATGAGGTGTGCACAGGGCAGTGATGGAGATGTGGGACAGGGTCAGAGGGATGGGGATGAGATATGAGGTGTGCTCAGAGCAGTGATGGAGATGTGCTACAAGATTTGATCAGAGCAGAGGGATGGAGATTGTGGTACAAGGACAGAGGGATGGGGATGTGGTACAAGGTCAAAGGGATGCAAATGTGGTCCAGGATGTGCTCAGAGCAGAGATGGAGATGTGGTACAAGGACCAGAGGGATGGGGATGTGGTATGAGGTCAGGGGGATGGGGATGTGATACAGGGTGTGCTCAGGGCGGTGATGGAGATGTAGTACAAGATTAGAGGGATGGGGATGTGGTACAAGGACAGAGGGATACAGATTTGGTCCAGGGTGTGCTCAAGAGTAGAGATGGAGATGTGGTACAAGGACAGAGGGATGGAGACATGGTGCAGGGACAGAGAGATGGAGATGTGGCCCAGGGTTTGCTCAGAGCAGAGATGGAGGTGGGATATGAGGTGTGCTCACAGCACAGATAGAGATGTGGTACAAGGACAGAGAGATGGAGATGTGGTACAAGGACAGAGAGATGGAGATGTGGTACAAGGACAGAGAGATGGAGATGTGGTCCAGGGTGTGCTCGGAGCTGTCATGAGGAAGCTGATGTTTCTTGGCCCTTTGTCCCCTGAGCCACTGCCCTGTGTCAGCTGCACAGACAGACACGGCTGTAAATCCGATTTTGGGCAGGAAAACGTCCCTGGGTGATCACGTGCTGCAGCTGCCTCTTACAGAACGATGCCATTAGCGGCATAAAATGTAATGAACCCATTTGACTTAACAACTGGGACGTAATGGCTGATGTTCTGTGACCCTCTTAGGGAGCTGCGCTCTGCTCCTCCCGTTAATGCATCACCCAGGAATTCCCAGCTCTCCCTTTCCCTTACCCGGAAAGCAGCTGAGCTGGGCTGGGTGTGGGACTGCCCAGAGGCTGCAGAGATGCCAAATGAGCAAGGAATTGGCAGGAGCAAGCTGTGTAAGGAAGATTTTGCTTTATCGGTATTTCCAGTGAGGGAAGTTGGGCATCTTTGCTGTCTGAGAGAGCCCTGCAAAGAGGATGGGGGAGGTTTGGGGTGGCAGCAGGGAAAAGGAGCAAGGGAAGGAGCCTTTGCTCTCACAGCAGTGTTCCTGCTGAAGGGCTCTGTTGTACTGAAAAATGAGACAATTTAAGGCAAAGTGCAGGAAGAGAGGAATCAGAGCAGCTGGTAAAGCAGGGAGTTGCTCAGTGAGACTTCAAACAGCCCCAGSAATGGTGAGGAGAGGAAGAGGAGCCTGAGATGTCTCCCCATTTCTGCAGTTTATCCACAAGCCAGGGCAGGGTGCTGGGTGGRAATTGGGGCTCTCTGGGTCTCACTCTCTGGCAGGAGCCCCATGGGTGCTGTGCCCAGGTCCCTGCACTGCCAGGACCATCCCCACCGCTCTCCTGGCACAGTTTGGGTGTTTCCATCACCGCTGTCCCTGTTCCCTCCCCAGGCTCTGATCCAGCTGCCTCCCTACATCTCCCAGTGCGAGGAGGTGCTGCAGTTCTTCGAGACACGGCCCGACGACCTGACACCCCCCAAAGAGTGAGTGGGGAGGGGGCTGCAACTGCTGGGGATGGGGAACAAATTGGGGCGTAGATGGGGCACAAACTGGGTGGGGATGGTGCAGAAACTGGGATGGGGAACAAACTGGGATGGGGATGGGGCACAAACTGGGTGGGGATGGGGCACAAACTGGGTGGGGATGGGGCACAAACTGGGGCCATGATGGGACACAAACCGTGGCAGTGATGGGACACAGACTGGGATGGGGACGGAACAGACTGGGATGGGCGCAAACAGGATGGGGATGGGACACAAACTGGGGTGGTGATAAGGCACACACTGCCTTGAACTCGCTGATAGCCACAGCTCTGGTGCTCATCAGTCCCCTCACAGGTCACAGGTTGGGATTTGGACCCTTTCCTGGAGAGGCTGTGCAGCTCAGTGTGGACACCTCTTCCTCCAGTGGGGAAGTGGAAACACTCCTGTGGGACCCCATGAAGTGCTGCTTCTGAGCCCCTTCCCAAATTCCAGCCTCAGGAACCCGATCAGCCTGAAAAGCCTCATTTCCTACATTTGCAACAACCTCTGCCAGGTTGGAGGGGCGCTTTCCCCCATCCATATCCCATCCATTACAACCCCAGAGCTCTTCCATGCAAACCCAGGAAGGTTTGCAGGGAATCCTATGTGCTTTATGCAATCCATGTGGTTCTGAGTCTTGTGACTATGAGCTGCTCTGGCCAGGAGCCACCCATCTCCTGCTGATCACGAGCAGCATCAATCCCAGCAGCCGCCTCCCTCCCTTTCCCTTTCCCTGCTGTGTGTGACAGAGCTCCAGCAGAGCCTGAGCAGTGCAGGGGGGCTGATTAATTGTCAGGAGAAGGGCAATCCATTGATTTGACACCATTCTCTACTGGAAGGGTGTGGAGGCAGAGAAAGGGATTTTGTTTTCCTCCTCTGAGCAGCGGCTCAGCCTGTCAGGTTCCAGCTCAGCATTGTGCTGCTGTGGACTGCATCTTCTCCCTGGGTTTTTGCTTCTTTTCGTTCCCTCTGTCAATTCCCCCTTCCCCCATCCCTTCCTTCCTCCTCTGGCTCCTATTTCTGCAGGCTTGGCCTGTCATCATTTCTCCTTCAGCTCGTGGGCACTGATGAGATTGCTCTGAGTGCCCCAGATCCCATTAACTAATTGCTGGCTGTCGCTGGTGCTCTCATCCCTCCTGCCCAGCTACAGCTCAGCACTTCACCTGCTGCCCTGTGGATCATTCCCAGGAGAGGTCATTCCCCAGGAGAGGTCATTCCCAGGGAAGGTCATCCCAAGGAGAGGTCATTCCCAGGGGTGATCATCCTCCAGGAGAGGTCATCCTCACGGAAGGTCATCCCGCAGGGATGGTCATCCCCAGGAGAGGTCATTCCCCAGGAGAGGTCATTCCCAGGGAAGGTCATCCCTCAGGGATGGTCATTCCCCAGGGAAGGTCATCCTCCAAGGAAGTCTCAGCTCAGGGGTGACCGAGGGACACCAGGACAAGATGAGTTGCAAGGACATCAGAGAGGGGGTATCGTGGCAGTGGGGCTTTTTTTGGGGATTGGGGCACTGCCTGTGTGTGGGTTTTGAGGGGGATGAGCTGCTCTGCAGTAGGAATCAGCTCCTGAACCCTCCTGCAGCTGAGGGACCTTCAGCCATGCTGGGTGGAGGGGCAGTTTCAGTCTTGCCCCTCCTCCCCTCACCTTTGTTTTATCTCCGAGGCTGAACCCAAAGCAGGCAGGGYGGGCAGAGCATTGAGGTGAGGGGGGAGACCTGTGGGTGCTGAGGGGGCACCCTGTGCCCTGTAGAGCTGCCAGCCCACTGTCCCTGCAGCCATCAGTGCCAGTCCCTTGTCACCTCCCTGCTCTGGCTCCAAGAGACGAGGGGTTGGCCCAGAGCTCAATCCCAAATGTGTTTTTGTGGGGTGGGGTCCATCCTCAGGGACTCTCCACAGGGTGCGAAATTGTGTGAGCTGGTGAGTTTTGGCCACTGCAGGGCTGGGTGGGCGAGTGGGCAAAGCTGAACCCCGTGGTGGCCGTGGTGTGTCCCTGCCTGCTCCTCTCCTTGGAGAATACCCTGCTTCTCTCCTGCTCCTCTCCATGGAGCACACACTGCTTCCCTCCTGCTCCTCTCCATGGAGCACACACTGCTTCCCTCCTTCTCCTCTCCAGGGAGGAGATTCAACCCTGCACCACACAAAAAGACTCAGTGGGTGCCTCTCATCCCTTAGCCAAACCCTACAGCATCCCAAGGACATCCCAGTTGCGTTCCCCGTCCCATTCCGAATGCCAGAGGGGCATTTATTAGCTCCACTTCAAAATGCTAATTAATAAAAGTCCTTGACTGTCTCCTCTGGAGGGRTTGGGAGCCCATTCCCGAGGCCTGGAATGCTGCCAGCTCAGCAATAACGAGATGGGAGCCGTGATAGACGGCTGGGCTGGATCAGACGTGATGGCGTGTCTGGGGTTTGGCCGGATGTCATCCTTCAGCCAGCAGATAAATACTGTGCTCCGGGAATCTGAAAGGGAGCCAGGCCGTGA